TCTGTTTACTATTGTATCCCTTGCACAGTTCCCAAAATATATTACAGAGTCAAATATTTATTGGTTGAAAGAATGAAAATTTGAATCTGGGAATATATGTGCTCAGGCTATATAGGCATATACTGTAAGAATCTTTCTTGTCTGTACGTTTCTACTTAAGAGGGAATAAAATTGCCTAATACTGAAACTCTTTAATACTTGACTAAGTTTCTTTGCATAAAGTCTGAAGTTAAATTACTGTAGGATTAGTTCTCTAATAAATTGTGACGTAGTAGAGTTAAATTTTCCAATATACATCATAAGCTACTTTTTAAAAACCTCCTTTATATTGACTGAATTCCTAAACATGCATTTGGGACTTTTTTATGTTAACGCTGAAAGTTAGTGTAATTGTACTTGATGTAGTTTCTCGTCAGTTAACCACAAAAAAAAGGGTTGTTGGCATTAAAAATAATGGAGATGTACTGTTAAGTCAATTCATAATTATTTATGAAGACAATGGAAGTATAAATGAGAAGCCTTGCTCATGATGACTTCCTTGATGTTTGCACATGTCAAATATTAGTAACTTGATTTTATCAAATAATACCTAGGAGTTCAGCAAAAATATTTACATATACATGCATATATACTAGGTACACACAGAGAAAGGGATTAGAAGAGGTAGCAGTAAGTAGAAAGGAAACCGAGTCAAGAGTGAGGAGACCAGCATTTTAGTTCTATGTTTACAGTAAGCTGTCTGACTTTAGTAAGTTGCTTAAAACCCAGCAGATTAAAATGTGGATTAATTAGGAATTTAATCAGCTAAAAGACAGCTTTAGTTTTGAGTTTCTGCCACAATTCTTTGGAAAAGCCTACAAATGAGGGTTTAGAATATTAACGGCCTCTTTTTTTTTCCGCTACTGCATGTCTCTGTTAATTTTTAACAAATGCAGGAAAAGTCAATGGTAGGAACTTAGAACACTCAGATTGTTTTGTTGAGTATATCTCTGCTGTATTGAGTAGGCAGTCATCTTTTTTTATTTTGCAAGAACTGGGCAAGTGAACAGAAGAGCTAGGATGCAGAATAATGTTAGAACACAGATGCCTGGGCCCTATTCATCTAAATCCTGAACCTATAAATTTCTGTTGATGAGGTTCAGACATACTTGTTGAAAGCATTTCAATAAATGAGTCTGATTAAAAGACAGATTTGAGAATTTCAGGCACTCATGAACACCTCTAAATGCTTTTATTTTAGGAATGTAGGAAAGTTATTGTTATGTGCTATCGAGTCATCTCGCACTCATAGGGACCCTATGCACAGCAGAACGAAACACTGCCTGGTCCTGTGCCAGCCTCACAATCCTTGCTATACCTGAGCCCATTGTTGCAACCACTGTGTCAATCCATCTCATTGAGGGCCTTCCCCTTCTTCGTTGACCCTCCACTTTACCAAGCATGATATCCTTCTCCAAGGAATGGTTTCTTCTGACAACATGACCAAAGTAAATAAGACAAAGGCCGGCCATTCTCGCTTCCAAGGACCATTCTGGCTGCACTTCCTTAAGGACAGATTTGTTAGTCCTTTTAGTAGACCATGGTACTCTTAGCATTCTTCTCTAGCACCACAACTCAAAAGCATCAGCCCTTCAGTCTTCCTTATTCTTCGTCCAGCTCTCGCATGCATAAGAGGCAATTGAAAATACCATGGAGATGCATCTTAGTCTTCAAGGAGACATCTTTGTTCTTCATCACTTGAAAGAGGTCCTTTGCAGCAGATTTGCTCAATGCAATACGTCATCTGATGTCTTGACTGCTGCTTCCATTGATGTTGATTGTGACAACTTTGATCTTTTCTCCATCCACCAAGAAGCCGTTTATTGGACCAGTTGTGAGGATTTTTTTCTTTATATTGAGGTATAATCCATACTGTAGACTGTAGTCTTTATCAGTAAGTGCTTCAAGTCATCCTCACTTTCAGCAAGCAAAGTTGTGTCATCTGCATATCGCAGGTTGTTAATGAGTCTTCCTCCAATCCTGAGGCTGCTTTCTTCTTCATATAATCCAGCTTCGCAGATTATTTACTCAACATACAAGTTCAGTAAGTATGGTGAAAGATAAAACCTTGACACACTCCCTTCTTGATTTTGAACCATGCAGTATCCCCTTGTTCTGTTTGAAGACAGCCTCCTGATAAATGTGCAGGTTCCTCATGAATATAATCAAGTGTTCTAGAATTCCCATTCTTAGTGTTATCCATAATTTGTTATGATCCACACAATCGAATCAATAAAACATAAGTCAACCGTTTTTGAATATCTTCAGTAAGATTTTACTTGCATGTGATATTAATGATATTGTTCAATAATTTCTACATTCTGTGGGATCACCTTTCTTTGGAAAGGGTACAAATTTGGATCTCTTTCAGTCAGCTGGCCAAGTAGCTGTCTTCCAAATCTCCTGGCATAACTGGAGTGAGTGCCTCCAGTGCCTCCAGTGGGGCATCCGTTTGTTGAAACATCTCAGTGGGTATCCAGTCAATTCCTGGAACCTTGTTCTTTGCGAATTCCTTCAGTGCAGCTTCAGCTTCTTCCTTCAATACCATTGGTTCTTGATCATAAGCCACCTCCTGAAATGGATAAAGATCGACCAGGTCTTTTTGGTACAGTGACTCTGTATTCCTTCCATCTTCTTTTGATGTTTCCTGCATCATTCAGTATTTTGCCCATAGACTCTTCTGATATTGCAACTCAAGGCTTAAATTTTTTCCTCGCTTTTTTCAGCTTGAGAAATGCCAAGCATGTTCTTCCCTTTTGGTTCTTTAACTCCAGGTCTTTGCACATTTCATTGTAGTAATTGCCTTTGTCTGCTCGAGCTGCTCTTTGAAATCTTCTGTTCAGCTCTTTTATCTTGTCATCTCTTCATTTGCTTTCGCTACTGTCCACTCAAGGGCAAGTTTCAGAGTCTCTTCCGACATCCATTTTGGTCTTTTCTTCCTTTCTTGTCTTTTTAATGACTTCTGGCTTTCTTCATGGATGTTCTTGATGTCATTCCAAAATTCCTCTGGTTTTCAGTCATTGGTGTTCATTGTATCAAATCTGTTCTTTAAATGGTCTCTAAATTCAGGAGGGGTATTATCAAGGTCATATTTTGGACAGTGTTGTACTTCGGGATAGATCTTGAAACAGTCTTTGTGACGATGAATGCCACACCATTACTCTTCAATTTATCATTCCTGGCATAGTAGATTATATCGTTATCTGATTCAGATTGGCCAAAACAGTCCATTTCAGCTCACTAATGCCTACGATATTGATCTTTATGTGTTCCATTTCATTTTAGACAACTTTCAATTTTCTTAGATTCATACTTTGTACATTCCATGTTCCAATTATTAATGGATGTTTGCATCTGTTTCTGCTCATTTTGAGGCGTGCCACATCAGCCAATGGAAGTCCCGAAAGCTTTGCTCTATCCGTATTGTTAAGGTCATCTCTACCGTGAGGCGTCAGCTCTTCCCAAGTCAAATTTTGAGTGCCTTCTGACCTGGGGGGCTAATCTTCCGGCACTGTGTTGACAGTGTTTCAGGACTATTCATAAAAGTTTTCCAGTAATATATCAGATAGTGTTTCACTGCTATGTGTAAGGTTTTTCCCTGGCCAATTCTTTGAGAAGTGGAAGGCCTCTTCCTTCTTCTAAGTCTGTCTAAGCCCTGAAGCTCCGCTGAAACCTATCCACCATGGGTAACCCGGCAACACAGTACCATAGCCTCCAGCGTCACAGCAGCAAGGAAGCCACCACAGGACAACAAACTAACAGACTAGTTCCTCTCCCTTAGTTGTTTCTAACCCATCTGCACCTGCCTACCTCAGGCCCTGAGCCTTAATATAGAGCCACACCCAAGTGAAAAGAGCCTCCAAGCTCCAATCCCCAGCCTTAGTAAAGAGCTACACCCAAGTGAAAAGAAGCCTTCACGCCCCAGGCCTGCCTACCTCAGACTGCTGCCTTAATATAGAGCTACAGCAAGTAAAAAGCAGGGGGGAATTGAGGTAACCTTTTTAGATTGTGGCAGTGGGTTGGTAAAGAGTGTTAATAATGTAATATATTATATTACAGAACTAGAGGGAACCTTGAAAATTATCTAGTACAGGGGTCAATAAACTGTGGTCCATGGGCTAAACCTGACCTTGCATCTGTGTTTGTAAATAAAGTTTTATTATAACAAAGCTTGCATGTTAAGTTGTATATCATCTCTGGCTGCTTTTTCACTACAATGGCAGAGTTTTGTGGTTGTAACAGAGACTGTATGGCCTGCAAAGCTTAGCATGTTTACTGACATTTTACAGAAGAAGTTTGCCTACCTTTGAGTAGCTCAAGCCTGTTATTTTGTAGATGTCAAAATAAGGCTTAAAGATAATAAGTAAAATGCTCTGTGATTACACGGCTAATTGGTGGTCAAAATGCAAATATAATTTAGTTCTCTTTTTCCAATCTCCATTCTAGTATTTTTTTGTTAGCATAGCGCCTAAGGCATTTGACTGCTAACCAGAAAGCTGGCAGTTAAAACCCACCAGCCACTTCTTGGAAAGAAGACTGGGCGATCTACTTTTGTAGAGATACTGCCTCGGAAACCCAAGAAGGGGTCACTGTGAGTCAAAATCGACTCGACAGCAATGAATTTGTTTTTGTTTTTGTTTTTTAATTATTTTTTCCTATCTCCATTCTAGTATTTTTTTGTTGGAGGAACTGATGCTAGGTGAGATCATAAAATATATTTGTAGTATAGAATTTTGTTTATAAGATCATTATTTATGTTATTAACTACAAAACACTGTTACCTAGGGCAGTAATCCATTAAATCTTGGATAACACTTCTGCACAAAAGTCTTTTTAATTTGAGTTAGAGGGTGGAATTTGATTGTATGTTGTACTGTTTCCTGAGTAAAAATCTTTTGTTTAATCTGCCAAGCAATTTTTTAACATAATACTTTTTTTTTTTTTTTTTGTTACATATACAGCCAAATGGACGATCTGTTGAAGTGGCTGAGGAGGAAATCGTTCGTCCTCCTCGAAATGTAACAGCAAAGCAGCCATTAGAGCCAGACAAGAAAAATGAAAAGGTGAGTCGGGGAGCATATGAAATATGCAAGGTCTTTAATAATGAGAGCGACTTATTATGAAAATGATAACCTTGTTTCACGAAATTGTCAGGGTACCCGCTTACAAGGAAAAATGTAAAAATGAATAGTGTGGTGGATGGTTAGTGAGAGTTTGTTTTGATTAAATGTTTAATTACAATATATTTTTTTTTAATAGGAAGCATTTATCAGCAAGTATTTTGTCTGTAGGAGAAAGATGTGGCAAATCTACTACCATAAAGATTATAGCTTTAGAAAGCCTATGGGGCAGTTTTTTTCTGTCCTGTAGCGTCCCTGTGAATCAGAATTGACATGAGAACAATTCTGTTTGGGTTTTTTTGTTTTGTTTTGTTTTAGTACGTGCTAGCTAGGTATACTTTTATCACTTTATATAATATAGAAAGTATTATAAATTTTATTTATAAATATCTAACAAATGGGAAACCTGAGGCTTAAGTAAGTTACCTAGGCTATAAAAATTATAATTTTTATAATCAGACCATCTGATTTCAAAGTCTGTGCTTTTGACTTCCCTGTATTATTTCTGATCCTCTTAAAAAAAAAAAAAAACTCTGCCGGGCAGATAGTAATAGCCCCATTTTACAGATAATGGCTCTGAAGCTTTGAAGAGATTTCATGGTTTCACTCATCTTACACAGTTTCTGAACTTCCATCACCAAAGCCCGTGCTCTTTATGCTACTCGACAATGCTGTTTCCTTTCAGTTGCTGTTGTTTTTCCAGCATAAAGCTTCTGCTGTTGGTTTGTTGCATATATTTATTATCATACTTTCTTCATAGTAATAAATACCATAACTCGTGGCTTGTGTTCTTTTTGGGGGGGGGCGGGGCGGGAGCTCTTGTGGCATAGTGCCTAAGGCATTTGACTGCTGACCAGAAGGCTGGTGGTTCAAATCCACCAGCCACTCCTTGGAAGGAAGGTTGGGCAGTCTACTTCCGTAGTAATACTGCTTCAGAAACCCAAGGAAAAGTCTCTGTGAGTCGGATCCAACTCCATGACAGTGGTTGCATTTCGCATTTGGTGTTCTTTTTTAGCTATCCTGAATCTTGAATTTATACTTTTTAACTTGGTTCAGTCTTAGTAGCTTATTTTGGTTAATTTTTGTGTGTATAATTGTGTGTTTCAAATATGTGGTGTTTTTTTAGAGTTCTTACAACTTTCTTTATAAATAGACATATCTTAGATCTACTTACATGTCTCAGTATACTTTATCTTTGTTTTCATCTCAAAGCCACATCTTGGGTCCTTTGAAAAGTACAATGTTTTGCTTACAGAGTAATCACTCTAAACTGGGATGTTGCGTTCCTGGCCTTGTTACTTGAGCAAAACTTCATTGATAGACATGATATGTGACAAAAGCTATAGATGTTAGGTCTGTAGAGCAGGTTAAATTACCATAGTTTGCTAAATCTTTATTTGGGATATGCAAGTCAATGCCTCATTGATACTATTGTCTGGTAAAGTGCACTTAGGATGATTAGCCAGACTGAATGCATTATGTATTATGCTGAAGGGAATAAAGAGAAATACAAGATGTACTTGCCCTCACAGAGATGAATGTAATTAAGGAAAGACAATCACAATGGAAGATAACTAGTAACGTAAGTCATTAAGTGCCAGGTAGTCAGAGGAGAAAGATTATCCTCATTGGATAATTAGAAAAGATTGACTTCTTTGGACTATGAGCGTGGTATTTCAGTAAGAGAAATGGGAGAGAAACAGATGAACACAATCACATTATTTAGAAGAAACAAACTAACATGTTTAGGCATATTCAGGGAAAACTTAGATGTATTAAGCTATTGGTAACATTTATTCTTTTTTTTTTTTTTTTTTTTTAATTGTGATTTGGATGAAAGTTTACAGAGCAAATTTACTTTCCATACAGCAGTTCACATACACTTTGACTTTGACATTGACATTGACTCCAGTTTACCACAATGCAACAGCTCCCCTCCCTCTTCCTCCCCATAGTTACCTCTTTCCTATGTCATTTCCTCCATGCACTCCTGCCCCCTCAGCTATGGCTCTGTGCATACATAGCTCTTCTATTCTCCCATGATTGTTCTCTCCAAGGAGTGTATCTACCTAGTGTAAATGTTCACCTCAGATGCCTGTCTTTTGTTTGGCAGAAAGCCACAGGAGTGGGTTCAGTTCCACACCTGAAGGGCAGCTAGGGACCATAGTCTCAGTGGTTCCATCAGGCTCAATCAGACCAGAAAACCGGGTCCCTCTCCCCCCACAAATGATTTTGAGTTTTGTTCTACATTGTTCTCCCACTCTATCCAGAATCTCCTACATAGATTCCCCCTCTGAATGGTTGGCAGTGGTAGCCAGGCACCATCTAGTTTTTCTGGTCTCATAGTCATATAGGCTGAGGATTGCATGGTGTACCAGTCGCTTGGCCTAATTGTTTCTGTGAATCTTTGGTTTTCTTCTTTCTTCTTTGCTCTGGACAAGGAGAGACCCATCGTTGCATCTAGATGGCTGCTTGCAAACTTTTAAGATCCTAGTCGCTACTCACCAAAGTAGGATGTGGAACAATGTTTTGTGTAGTATGTTATGCCAATTGAGCTTGATGTCCCCTGTGACTATGGTCCCCAGCCCACAGGTCCAACTGTTCGTTCCCTCTGTGTAGCTAGCTGTGGCCAAGAAGTAACAACAGTCTTGTCACTTGTCAGCTCTACTATACACCTGAGAATTCTTATAAAACATAGCAATACACTTGTAGAAATGTTGTCTGCCAACCCTGTACATGGTCTTGGGCACAGTCCCCCCTGCATGGATGTACCTGTAGTATGTATCTAATATAATAATAAAGGTCTGAATTGAGGTAGAAGTACAAATACTGTTAATAAAAGAAATAACAAATGCAAAAATGTCTAAAACTTGATCACCATCAGGTTGTTCAGGATGAAGTCAGTGGTGTGCCAACATAGTTGACTATCTTAGTAGTTAAAAGTACTCATAACTACTACTTAAAAGTTGTTGTTGTTATCATGTGCCATTGAGTCGAGCCCGACTCACAGTGACCCCTCCTTGGGTTTCTGAAGAGGTATCACTATGGAAGTAGACTGCCTAACCTTCCTTCTGAGGAGTGGCTGGTGGGTTTGAACTGCCGGCCTTCTGGTTAGCAGTCAAGTGCCTTAGGCACTATGCTATCAGAGATCCTACTTAAAAGTACTACCCTTATATTTTTGTGCTACACAGTCTACAAAATATTTTTACATCTCTTAATCCTGATAATAAACAACTCTGGATGGAATATTTTTCCATTTATACATAAGCTTAGTAAAATGTTCAGTGAATTGCTTAAGATCACATAGCTAGTAAGTAATGTTCTCTTCGTTTATCTAAGGCAGCAGTTCTCAAAGTGTGACCTGTGAACCTCTGGCAGGAGGTCCCAGGGACCCTTTGTGGGATTTCTGAAAGTAAAACTATTTTCTTAATAATTAGAACTTCATTTCCCTTTTCACTTTGTTGATGTTTGCATTGATGGCACAGAAGTATGGTGGACAAAACCACTGGTGCCTTAGCACAAATCATGGCAGAGACACCAAAATACTAGTATTAATTTTATTCTTCACTGCTATTCACACACAGTTTTGGGGGGGGGGGTTGGGAGTCTTGTTTCACTAGCATCAAGTGGCCTTGATGCAGCAGTGAAAATTACTAATTTTGTTAAATATCAGTATGCACTTTTTAAACATTCTGTGTGTTTAAATGGGAAGTATGCTGTAGTATGCTGTATACTTCACCACAGTGGTTGTCTTAAGAAAAAAGCACTAGTGTGATCAAGTTGCAAGCTTAACTATTAGTTTCATGTTACCCCCATTTTTATATGAAAGAAGCAGAAACAAATCATGATTATTCAGTTGGATATTTGCAGAAATTTTCTCAAAAAAATAAACAAAATGATCTTGTCACTTAAAGGAAACAATTGATAGTATTTGTTGCAAATGATAAAATGATTTGTTGCCAAATGAAAATTAGAATTTTGGAAAATGTGTGTCTCTGCCATGAGCTTGACAGCTTCCCAGTACTTAAGTAATTTCTGATAAAGTCGGTTCTTATGTTAGTAAATGTATTTTTTAAATATATATGTGTATAATATAGAATGAAATGTGTTAACATTTGGAAAAAAGGAGTTCTGGTAGCATAGTGGCTAAGGCACTTCACTGCTAACCAGAAGGCTGGCAGTTCAAACCCACCAGCCACTCCTCAGAAGGAAGGTTGGGCAATCTACTTCCATAGTGATACCACCTCGGAAAC